TTCATTTCTCATTATGTATCTAATTATCTTTATAAATAAATATATTATATTATCAGGAATTTGGTTTTATCTCTCTAGAGAACCCTGTCTAACACACCCAGACTGTCACTTTTCTACAGGAGCAGAGCCTGGTCTCCCTCCTGCAGAGCGGCTGGCACTTTCCAACTGATGAACTTGCAGTTAGCAGCCCAGCTCCTAACTGCTGTGTCCCAGGGCTCCTCAATATACACAAAATACCTAAAATCTCCCCAAACTATGCTCTATCTATCATCTATCTACCCACTCACCCATCCATCCATCCTTCCATCCATCGATTGATCGATAGATAGATGATAGATTGTTGAGGGAGATTTTAGATATTATAGGTGACGTTATCCTGCTTTTAAGAATACTGGTAAGCTATTTGCATGGCTCATTACTGAGCAGGTCTCTGTGTGGTGAATAGTGGTGTCCACTGAATCCACAGCCCATCATTTACTTTTGCCTGCTGTCAGACACCCCCCTCCCAGCCCTAACTCTTGTCTATTTCAAACAACACTGACATGGGTCAGCTGAATTTTCATCTGCTTTTGATTATTCTCGGTGGGGGGGGCAGGAGGAAGGATTGCTCAAAGTGGAAGTGTAGGTTTAAAAGGATGCATTTTTAAGTGTTTGATTCATACTATGAAACCGCCACTGCTTTCTGCCCCACCAGCCCCGATGAGTGGGCGGACTCAGCGGTTGCCACCGTGGGCTCGAACATAAGAACTAACGCGAAGAAGGTGCGGGACCCGGCGGGGTTTCCGGCTGCTGTACCGCCGGTCTCTGTGAGTCTGCCCTGGTCAGACAGCACCCAACAAGAGCCTCGTAGGAGAGGATGCCTCACAGCCCGAGAGCAAACCCTGGTTGGAAGCTTCCAGTCAACCACACTCCCTCTCTGTTCCCCGTCCACGACCAGGAACATGGCAGCACAAGACGGTGGGGAGAGAGGGGCTGGGAGAAGGGTAAAGCCTCTCTCCTCTGGGCCTTGACAAGGGAGAGTGAATTTCCGACAACTGTGAGGATAACACACTGTCAGGCTTTTTCCTTGGCTCCTGTCTCCTACTGACCTCTTGACACGTCTTCCATACCCTTGGAGTCTCCTGGGGCACTTGAGATGCCTTCTGTCCTGGGCTCTCTACTCCCCCAAAGAGTTACAGTCTCAGAAGCCCAGGGGAGCAGATCTGCCTGGCCCCAGAGCCACTGTGCATCCGCCTCGATGGGATGGCAGAGCGCTTGGCCCACTGCAGACAAGTGCAGGGCTGAGGGCTGAAGAGGAGGGGATTGCACGTGGGAGGGAGGGGTCCCACCAGGCTGGGGCCTCGCGGGTCTCCATTCTCCCCTTGTGCTGGGGAGGCGTCTTACGGAGCAAGACTCTTAAGTCAGGCCTAAGGCGTCAGCTGTGTAAGGGCTGGGGAAGGCTTCCTGTCACACCGGCTAAGACGGCCGTTTGGAAATGGCCATGGCTGCAGTCTAAGAGGCTGTCACAGCACACAGGGGGCCTTGCTCATGTGGTCGTGGGCATTCTTAGAGCTGCTTCAGAAAGTCAGGTGGGGGGTGGAGGGCTTGGGGAGGCTGGGTCTTTGTGACCAGGGAGGACCACCCTGACCAGCACCCTCAGGAAGGCCCTCCAGGGGTCTTCTTTTTCCCCTCAGCAAGAAGACCCGGCGAGGAGTGCCGGCAGAGGGTGCGGGCCCAGGGTCACCCCAAAGGGGGGAGCAGAAGCACCACATGGGAAGACAAGGGCGGTCTTTTGGGTTCATTGATTAAGCAAGAACTGTGTGCAGACTGTGTGCAGCAGGGCATGGCCCTGTGCAGAGCAGTTAAATAATGGAAGGGAAGAAGTTCAATGCAAGAATTTTTCAATGCTGACAGCCTAGTGAGAGGGGGGCCTCGCCTGAGCAGGTGCTTAATAAATGCTAGTGGACACGATTGGAGCAAGAGGCTGAGGGAGGGGAGGGGGCCACCAGCAGCAATGCTGGAAGGATCCATCAGGATCCCGTGGCCCTCAGCCACGAAGCACATGGTGATCTTTGAAGGCCTTCAATGTGGGGGTCACGCGGCCTGAGCTGCCTCTCAATTCCTGAGCTGTCTCGTGGGGTTCTGGAGCTAGATGCAGGAGACGGGACATTCGGTTGATGTCTATTACCTTAGACAGGGCTTCTTTTCCAACAGGCTGCCCTCGGGGAGCCGTCGGGGGGAGTTCCAAGGCTGGGGGCTCCTGGACTTGCCCTTCTCCCCGCTGCTCGGAGCCTTCGTGCTCTTCCGGGCATCTGCTCAGCGGTGGCTGGACGCCGCCATCCAGAAGCTGGGGCAGGTGGTCTTCTTCAATAGAGATGATTCTGCGGAGCCTCCGAGAGGGCTGGCCCCCAGGCCCTGGCTGCTCCCCGGCTCCCGGCTCCCCTTCTGTGACAGGGTATCCACTCAGGCCCAGGGAGCTCCTCCTCCTCGGCATGCCGAACACATCCTCTTCCTCCTCTGACGGGCTGTTTGGGGTGGGGCAGAAGGAAGCGGGGGACGGGTCAGCCACTCCATCCATCAGCATGGACGCAGAGGGCCGTTCTACCTCTCTGCATCCATCTATGTGGACAGAACACGTGCCAAAGGAAGAAGGAAAGGGCAAGGGTCAGTTGGTCTTTCTGATGAGCAATGAGCCAGCCTTTGGGGAGTCCAACTCAATCATGGCCTTTCCTGTTACTGTTGAGTTCATTAAATACGAATGACTGAAACGATCTTTCCGAGCACAGACCTCTTTCTTGTCTGTAAAAGGAGTTCGACTATTGGAGCTTCCATATGACACTTTAATTAACTTTCAAAGCCAACACAGCTGTGTCCCTGAAGAGCTACCCCTCCGTCTTCCTCTGTCCGTTGACCGTCTCCTCCCTGCTGATCGTCAGCCTCCCTTCAGTCCCTCTCAGCTGCATCGTCTATCTAGAGTGGGGTGGCTTCCACAGTGGCCTGTCTCAGGGGAGTACTCTGCACAGGCCCCCTCCCCATGTCGATGGCACAGGCAGAGAGGACCTGTCAGGGCAGAGAGTGTGGCTGAAGCCAGGCTTCCCCACCTGCTGCTCTGGAGGACAGGTGGCATCCAGCCTGGGTGCAAAGCAGGCTCGCGATGAGCCTGGGAGGAAGGAACAGAAACCGAGGAGCACAGGGATGCTGACGTACCTTCTCAGAATCCCTCTGCCGTCCACATATTTGCCGATCACAGAGCCAGATCTCTGCTTCCAGCCTGCCTTGGAAGCAGCTGTGTTTGTCTTGGCTGCCTTATCTCTCTGTAAAAACACACAAAATACCCTCAGATGTATGCTGGCTGATTTGTCGTGCCCCCCGCCCCCCAAGTCTAAGCAGAAAAGGACTCTACTTTCCCACCTAATTAAACAGGCTCTAAACAAATCTCTGAAGGAGGCGAGTGGTCCCCAGCTTTTCCTCTTGCCATGACCCTTCCTCCTTGAGAATTCCCCCATCTCCTCTCTAATCATCTCATCACATGAGCACAGGCATCCTTTCACGCCCAGGGTCCACTACATTATCCTGCACAAGAGTGCCGACAATTGGCAAGAAGGCAAATATATGCCATCCATGCTTAACGCAAAGGAAAATATTTATGGGCATAAAAGACGTTCGGGCATCTTTGACTCCAACGCCTCTGAATGGCTCCAATTCCTGTTGATCCCCAAAGCCTCGGATAAAATGAGAAAGGGCCGACTAATCAGGGCCCTGTGCATGGCTCCTAAAGCAGCTGAAGGTTTTTCAGATGGTGGAAGGAGGCAGGGTGTAGATTAGTAGAGAGGGCCTGGGTGGAGTAGGGGCTCACAGTCCCCTTTGCCTGTGCCCCATGATAGATGTCTTTTCATAGTTGAGGGGGAATGAGATCACAGGAAGAATCTCTCATTAACCAGCCTTCTCCCCAATTCCTGGGAATCCTTCATGAAGGGCGGAGGAGCTGCAGAGCTCCCCGATCCCCTAAAGGTATGGTTATAATGATTCCAAATTAATCTTGAATTATTATTCAGCATAAACACAATTTTATCACTCTTTCTTCTATTTCCCACCTGGCTTCTTCACTCCCTTCCCCTTTCAAAGCAAAATGAGTTTGGCAGGTAAAGGGAAGCGAGGTCAAGGGATTAGGATACCATTTGCTGGGAAGTTTTCAAATGAACTCAGTGTTGCTTCTAAAACAATTATAACCATTATCATCATCAAATAAGCACATGTAGGCTTAAGCCATGCTCTAATCGTACACACAGGTGGGTGGCAGCAATGTTTGCTGCCAGTGAAGAATGTAGGCGGAATGATGTAATGAGGTCCGTGGGAGTCTGGTAGTCATAAACCAAGCTAGGCTTCATTGGGGGCAGACGGACTGCCTTTTGCTGACTGTCGTTCAGGCCTAGCACAGACCACCCTGCTCCATTCAAGAGTTTCTGAAGCATCCCTCTGCTGTAGAAAAGAATTAAAAATCAGGAGTCCTGGTGGCATTGCTGGATAAACATTCCACTGTTAACCTCAAGGTCCTCTGTTCAAACCCATCAGTTGTTCCAAGGGAGAAAAATGAGGCTCTGTGTTCTTGCAGAGAATGACAGCTCTGAAAGCCTACATAGGCTCACGCTGCAGGAACAGACTCAATGGCAGTGGTCTTTTTGGAAGGGGAGGGAGGGGAGAGGCCATTATTCCCTTTACCAATTGAACAGTTGGGAGTCATTGTCCAAGGAGGTTAATGGCTTCTCCAAGGACATACCTAAAATCCTTGGCAGGAAAATTCTGAGAATTAGGAAGTCCCATGAATAGCCAGGCCCCAGTTTTCTTCCTCTTAGGGCATCTCTCAGCTACTGTTTAAAGGAACAGATGCACAGGGGATGTGGATGCTGTGGTTTTATGTAGTGCATCCCAAAGTGAAGATCTTTAAATAAATATTTTAAATAAGTGTAGGCTTTTTGTGCAAGGAGGGAAAGTATATAAGCATACCATTCAGGTATGGAAGGCGTAGAGAGCCCCAGAGGATGGGGGGAAAAAGCATCGAATCAACTATGTAAATTACAGAATCTACATTTCTAATTCATTTTATGACACTGTAAAGAAATGCAGCATTTTTGCCAAGGGCTAAACATTTCAATGAAGACAGAGAAACAAATCAGGAGCACGTTGCTCGAAAGGTGACCGTGGCATTTCAACCGTGCCATCTCCTGGCTAGAAAGATCATCGCCACATCTACGGAATGTGTGTGACCGTCCCTAGTCTGTAGTCAGGCTATGCCCAGAGGAAAGCTTCCTGTCTCCATGAGACTTCGTGGAAAAATCAATGCACTGTCACCCAGTAGGGCACCTTTGCATTTTGATTATTTTCAGAACCCCCCTGACCTCAAGAGAACCCGGTGCCAGGACCTCCGTGGGTCGGTCCCAGCGGCCTGCCCTGGGGGAGGGAGCCTTGCCAATTACCTGGAAACACATGTCCCGCTCATCTAGGAGGTGCTTGTTCCTTTCCCTGCGGACGATAAAGGGAAATCCGTTCAGACAGGAAACCTGTCTCTGCCGTTGGCCCCATACCCATCCAATAGCAGCTAGTTTGTGGGTCAAGTGGGTCCCAGGGAAGGCTTGGTGCAGAAGGACCAGGGAATGTACAGAACCTCTTTCCTCGGGGATTGTGCTTAATGGCGCAGGGTGGTTTGTGTGTGGATTCGCAGAGAGGTAGAGGGATCCACAAAGCCCTCTTGAGATGCCCGAGAGCCTTCAGAATCCCCGAGCATCCTGCACTACCTCGTTCCTACCACGAGAGGGTGGCCTCCACAGATCAGGGCGCTCCAACTCCTCCAGTGGATCTGCTTATCTGGCTCCCAAGGGACTCACTCCCTCACCCCCCCACTCCCAGGACCCTTCATTCACGCGTGCACTTGATCAGCAAATCTCTGCTGAGCATGGATCTGTCAGATGCTGGTCTAGGGTTCAGGTGACCCCAAAGAACACCACAGACATTCCCTGCCCTAGGGACGCCTGTGCCTTAGTGGAGGGGACCCAGACACTCATCACTGCTGAGAGGTAAAGGAAGAACTTGGGATAAGCAGTGACAGAGGGTGGCATGTCGTCGTAACAAGTTGGAAAGGTTGACAGGTTGAGTTCGCCCAAAGGGACTTTGGAAGAAAGTCCTGTTGAGTGACGTCAGGGGCTGAGGGCGGGGGGGTGAGGGGGCTCACGGAAAGTAGCCGCTGAAACTCTATGGAGCACAATTCTCCTCTGACACAGTGGGTCACCGTGAGCCGGCCGTGACTCCACCAACACTGGCTTGACGGAGACAGCCTCACGGACAGGGGGAATCTGAGCCGACTTGGAGGATCTTTCCGGGGAGGGGGTCTTCCAGCAGAAGAAGTGAGGGCAAGGCCTCCCTGTGTTGGGCCAAGTCTGGTGTAAGAGTGAAGGTAAGGAGGCAGGTGAGTGCTCTGTGGGAGTCAGGGCAGAGAAGTAGAAAGCGGGGTGTGGGGGGTACTGGCCTTGACCATTCACAGCCTCATGGGCACTGTGAGAATTCTGATTTTACTCTAAATGAACTATGAAGCCACCTGGTCTTGGGGGTGGGGGTGGGGGGTGCTCAAGCACCTGGCAAGGGAGTGTTCTGATCTGACTCGCCTTTTCCAAAGACCCCCTTAGATGCTCTTCTGAGAATGGAAAGAGATGGGTCCGAGACTTTCAGCAGCACGGGGCGCGCTGGTGCCCTGAATAAGAGCTGTGGGCAGGGTTGGAGACAGCCTGAGCAGCGGGTGAAGGAAGGAATGGGGGCAGTGGGCACAACAACCTGTCTGAGAAGTTTCGAGGGACAGGGGCTACCGAAAGGGAAAGCAGGGCTGAGAGACAAGGCCTGTGTTGTGGGGCTCTAGAAAGAGTACAAATTCTGTATTTCGTCACACAACAGAAACGAGGGTGAAGGGAGACAGTGGACGGCGTAAGATATGAAAATAACAATAATTTATCATTTATCAAGGGGTTCACGAGGGTGGGAAAGTTGGTGAGGGAGGGGGATAAAGAGGAGCTGATACCAAGGGCTCAAGTAGAAAATGTTTTGGAACTGATGATGGCAACATATGTATAAATGTGCATGCTATAATGGATGTATGGATTGTTTTAAGAGCTGTAAGAGCTCCCAATAAAATTATTTACATATACAAAAAAGAGTATGGATTATAGCTCGATGTAGCAAAAACTAAACAGGACTGGTAACATCATGATAAATGAAGAAAAGATGGAAGTTGTCAAGGATCTCGTCTTGCCTGGATCCAC